TAATGGATATTGTGATATGATTAATTTGGAATTTATTATAGGTACCTATTATAGGTCAAATTTTGGTTTAGTACCATAGATATGTATATAATGTCTTATACCTAGACTGACATACCGTCTCCTCTCAGAATCGTTTTTTCGCTGTGTACGGACATTGTCAGTTTTCAATATTTATTTTGTTTTTTTTCTATTAATAGTTAATTTTATTAGTTGGGTAAAAAAGCTTAAAAATTGAATGGAACAATTTTTTTTATAAGCATTTAAAGTTCGAATTTTGACAACGTTTATAAAATTCTAAATTGTATAATTATTTTGTAGCTAGATATTTATAAGATGTTCAACTTTATAGATAAGATTGAAAATTTAAAACAATATTCCAAGTAAATAGGTTATATATAAATTACTTTTGTCACCTTAATATCATCAATTAATATACTTAGTAATATCATAGGCTGACTGACCGTCTTCGCTCAGAACCGTTTTCTGTACAATTATATTATATCATGAATTCACCTTTTTAATTGACTATATGTTATAAGTCCAACCCTAAAAACTACTACCTATAAATCGGACATTTACAATCACCCAAAAATTAACATAGTCCTCAAATTTGATTAATAGAATAATAATATTTTATAGCAATTACCATCTTCTTTTAGTAAATTAATAAAATAATAATGAAACAGATAGTGTACTTAATTTATTTAAATGTTTAAATATTATCCAACAAGCATAATTGATAAATATTTAATAGTTTCGTTATCGAATTTTATAAGTGCTTTTTAATTACATTTTTACAATCCTATGCAATGTTTGGATTACCTCACTGACTAAAATATGATATTTAAATACTCTGATAACCGGTTTTTTTTGTATATTTTAATTGACTAAAAGTTATTTATTGTATACAATTGCTTTTGGTGAGAATTATTATTTTTTTTTTATTATTATGCTGTAAGATGTAGTTATTGGTAGTATTGTGTAAGCATTTGAAGACATCATAGTCCTCAATATTACTATATAAAAGGTATTAAGAAATTTCCCAAAACGTACAATAAACGTTTCATAAATTTGATGTTTAAATTGAAAAGTTAAAATTATTTTATTGTTTTTTTACTTTGATCCCGTGATACTAAATACATTTATTTTACACATAATATGGTTTATTAGATAGTTTTTCTTTTGGCTCAAGAAAATTACCGGGGAACTTTAAAATGATACATCAAAGTCAAAACCTCATTCAAAAATTTGCATTATTCTTCTGACGAAAATTAACATAATTTAGATACTTTTGAAGTAAAATTAACTTGATGTTAACACTTAAATCTTGAAAAAAAAGTAACTTATTAAGTAAATAGTTAATTTGAAAAAAAATTAAAAGTTATCTTAATTTTAACTTTTAATGAGCCTTGGTAAAAAGTAATATTTAAGGGTGGCGTTGTTGTAAAAAAAACGTATACATCTTATGTTCATTTAAAGTCTGGTCATGTTATAATATAAAATCGGGAAGGAAAATATTGTTTAGTTCTTGCAATTCGTATGCATCCCTATTTTTAACCTATGAGCTACAGCGGATGTTGATACTCAGCCCATATTGAAAATATTAAATAGTTTATGAAATAATTAAAAGTACACAACTATAATCGTTAATTGGTTGCCACTTGAGGTAATCGTATAATCTGATGTTTCGATGTGTGAGACTATGTGAGACTCCGTCTGTCGAGACTCAGACAGAGTAAAAATAAATAAGTATTGTAATTAGTTGGTATTTTTTAATGGTTCGTTGGAAAACAAATCAATGTTGTTCGTTCGTTATGTTGCGAGCTTAACAACTCAATCAGTACATATTATGTTTGATGATACAAATAATCCTTGTAAGTCGTATAATGTGATTATTTGATGCTAAATATACCACAATAAATATATTATATAAATGTATAAAACAAAAACATTTTAATGAAAAATACATATTTGTGTTTATTTGGTTAAAAACAACCAAATTCAAATACAATTTTAATTTATTTCTTAGAACCGATAAAAACCTAATAGAACCGGAACACTTAATGCTTATTAATGCTTATTTTAATGCTTATTTAAATAGAATCTGGTTCGAAGCATTGTAAAATATGGGTTCTAAATTCCAATGGAGGCTTCGGTTCTTCGATTATATCCAGGAACCTGTTGTTCCGGTTCCAGTCCCTAATGCTCAGAATTCACTAGTAAAATAATGTCGTTGGTAATGATTAATAAATAAATTGAGAATATCTTTTTTTTCATTATACTATTTACAATCCATACAGTTACTACCAATGGTGAATCTACAGGGGGAGTCATTTGGTGGCAGGGGGAGTCATTTGGTGGCAGGGGGAGGTGCAGGGTGTACATTTGCACCAATTTTTTTTTAAAACGCCTTCTTTGGCCTGCCAGCAATAAATACAAGCGCCGATATACCCAAGTGTCTTATATTATATATATTTTATATTTTTTCAGTACCTATTAAAAAAAAAAAATGTATTGTACTCATGTTTAATTTCCAAGAATGTGATTTTGTGGTCCCACAGTATTATAATTGATAAAATTATAACACAAACATTGTGAAGAAGGGTAGGTATACCCATAAAATAGATTACTGGTTTTATAAAGCTAGCTATTGTTACGTACGGCCCTTTCAGGATCCAAGCGATGATGTAGTTTGAAATAATAATACTAATTTCAAAGTAATCAAATGTGTTTTTAATAATTTAGAACAGTTTAATTATGTACGGATAGTAGTATAATGTAGAATATAATATGATTCCGTGGTAGTAGCGGTGTGTAATGGCTGGTGAAGTGACTTCGGTCTTGCTGGTCCAGGTACATCTGATCAGGCTGTGCTCCTGTTTCCCTTATATATTATGCTGTCAGCTCCTTTGATCTGGTCAGCATACGGAACTCGCAGGCGCCTTGGATGTGGTCGTGAAAATTGTTGTCGTTGTCGTAATGAAGAAACCGCCGCCTCGTGTTCATAGATTGTTGTAAGATTGCCAAAAATGCTTTTACAAGGAGAACCGCATAATAAATAAAAGCGGTTTACCTTCAGTTATACTTAATACATATTAATACATGCCTATATTACACTATATTATTTATATACTTTGAGTATGTAGGGAGAAAAAATGTGTAGGTTAGGTTCGGTTAGGTATTTTATTATAAAGGTGTTTTATACCCATACATTTGTTTACCAGGTGTGAATACCACTGTACATTGGTATCCACAATATAAAATAAATAGGTACATTAAAATTTAAAAGTACCTTCATATAGTTCGTCAAAAATAGTAACATTATTGTGATATTTTCATACTAATGTAAGTGACATATTAAACAAATTATACAAATATTCTACAGTTTTTTGTCCCCACTTGACCTCCCCCCCCAAAAAAAATCCATGTTTTCCATGTGGCCTGGTAACGATTTGAATGGCCTGCAAACGTTTTCGCACCAACAAAAATGACGCCCCTGTTAGGGGGGATATGTGATATGAGGGGAATAATTTTTTTTTTATTCAGACTAAGTCAACTAAAGTATTGTCATTATTTTTAGTCAATTGAATATTACAACAACTAATCCCCACCATGACTTATCGATACTGTCATGATTGATAATAACAAATCTACTAGATAAACGACGATAAACTTTGGCTCACTTTAACCATTAGCCATTTTTCTTGTAATTATTAATTGGCACTTGACTCACTCATCTTTAAACTATAAAAGACTATGCAAATATACTTTGTGTTTAGTACCTACTATGTCATTGATTAAAATATATAATAGTTCGTTCATATCGTCATAGTAGTATTATTTGAGAATTATATACTTATATATACTTTAAAACTAAAATTTTAAACGCATATAGTTAAATCTTAAATTTAGGCGTATAATATAATATTCGTTTTCGTTATATTATCATTAATTGTATATGAATAAACTTGTGTTAAAATAAGTGTGTAACTACTAACTAATTTTTAATCGATTATAAGCTGTTCAATTAATTAAAGTTATTACAATAAAAGTATTTAAACATTATAGTTTGACTTTTATACGTGTCTCTGTGCACAGCTGAATCCTGAGTACTATATTTTATTAGTACAAGCTTCAAGACAGTTATAAATTATTACTTACGTACTTTTATTCGGTGAGTGTTTTGATTTCATTATTAATGTGTTACCAATTGCTTAATTTGAATCATTGAGATTAGGTAGGTACCTAGTTTGATTAAGTATTAAAACTAGGCATTGAAAACAACCTAACAAATTATTTATTTAATTAATGTGCTTAGATTATTTTTTGTTACGCTTACTCGAAAATCACAGTCAATTTCAATAATCAATTAGCACGACAGTGTTTTATCAAATATATAAAAAAAAAAAATGTAAAACTGTTCTAATTACTAAAATAATTTTTTGTGTGCAGTTATCAAGCTTACATAACTATTAGGTATATAAAAAGTGGACTAGTTAATCATAGTGAACAGTAAATATGCCTTAGGAAATGTACCTCCTAATCAATTGTTCGAAATATTTAAATACGTCATATTTTTTAAAATGTATTCCGTACTCAAATAGCATATACTTAGTCTTTTAACTTACTAAAATATTTCAATATGTTGAGTTTATATTGTAATTTGTCAGTGCCTACTGACTACCTATTGGATAGGTTCTAAATTTAATATAATATGTTGTAATCGCATACGTTGTGTGTTGTATGTATTGAAACAGTGATTGTCAAACTGATGAGGAACAAAATCTCCCAATGGCCTTTTTTTTAAATATGAACTATAGATTAGATATAGCTATACAACGGTACCAATAAATTTTATTTTAATGATAGAATAGTGTATGTTAAAAAAATCAACACCATCCCCTCCCCTATTACTAAAGAATTTGACCACCAGTGTTGAAACTAATTCAAATATGTCCTATTAATATATTTTTTATGTTATATTTTATTTTAGGTTTAACATGGACTCTGGTAATAAATATGAACGACCTTCACATCCTAGAGCCAAAGCAAACGTCCTTGAAATAATCACATTTGGGTAAATATTATATTATGATATATTTAGATTATGATCTTATAAAGGTATTAAAATTATAAAAGTTTTATTTTCATCTACCTATTAATAGTTGTGCTTGTAATATTGATAACACCTACCTAATAATTAATATTCACAGTATTGTAGGTATAGTGAATAAATAATATGTATAGTGAATTTAAATGTATACCTATTAAACAGATTTATTTTATATTTAATACATTTGTCTACATTTTCTTCAGATGGATTTACAAACTCTTCAAAACTGGATCACAAAGAGATTTAGAAGTTAATGATTTGTATGCAACACTAAATGATCACAAGTCATCATCACTCGGCAGGGGATTAGAGGAGTAAATATATTTATAATACAATAAATATTATTATTATTATTATTATTGTTGTTATTATTTATTAATTATTGATACTGTATTTAATTGTATTGTGTGTTTGAATATTATTTATTTTAATTATTAATTAGGTAATTTGATTTAAGGAAGTGGATCGATGAGCTCGCCAATGCTAAACAGGCGAAACGATCGCCAAGTTTAACAAAAGCTTTATTCAAAATGTTTGGATTCAAGTTTTTGTTTTTAGGATTTCTACACTCAATCATCGAAATTGGTCTAAGGTAAACATTTTGTTTTACAATATAATAACTGTCGTATAATATGCAAATTACTTCTGATATATACACAATACACATGAAACAAAACATATAAAAATATAAAATACAATATTAGTATTTAGCATTATATTAAAATCAGAGCTGTTATATATGGTGTTTGCATCTTATATCAAACTCATATTTTACTTGTAGTTCGTCTTTTTATTAAATGTCGTAGCTTAACATAGTTATATTTATAAATGCTGACTCTAAAAACCTAGTAATTATTACTAAATATGGACTATTTCTTAATCTAATTTTAAATTCCAAATGGTCCTTAATTTAATGTTAATTTCTAAAAAATATTATCTAAGACGTAACATTCATATTTTAAATCTCTTTAACTCCATTTTTGACCAAATAGTTTCCATATTGGTAATCAATAATCATTTTTAGAAGTTATAAAAATACTCATAAAGATTCTTGCTTTTCTTGAAACTTATTATTGTTAAATTAATAATACATGTGTTATATTATTACCACAAATTCTTTATACAAATAGAATGATTCAACCATTACTCATCGGTGGACTGTTATCATACTTTAACCCGAATTTGTCAAGCGAAACACCTAATATAAACCAAGCGTACATATATGCAACATTATTGACATTAAACATGTTCGTTACATTAGTCTTTTATCATGCAATACAAATTGAAATTTTACATTCCGGGATGAAGATGCGTGTGGCCTGTTGCTCTTTAATATTTAGAAAGGTAAATATGCTTTAAAAAATAAATAAATAACATTATGAATAAATTGCGTTGGTATCATTTAATCTCAACATAATCTATGCAAACATATTTTATTTTTTATTTAAATAAACATAAATTAAGAATTTTAAAAACGTGTTTACAACTCTATATTGGTAAACACTTATCTATATATCCTAATGTTATAAAAACATGTATTATCTCGAGTTTCTTCTTTACTCGATCGATCATAACATTACAACTATAATATAATAAGTAATAAATATAGAAAATTTCCAAACATAAACGTTTACTTACAAAATGAAATTTTATTTTACCCAGGCATTGCGACTAAGTAAAACGGCTCTTGGTGAAACTACTGTTGGTCAAGTAGTCAATTTGATATCAAACGATGTAAACCGATTCGACACTGTAGTAATTTTTCTCAACTATCTATGGATGGGTCCTTTACAAACAATTTTAGTCACATATTTTTTGTGGCAAGAAATTGGAGTTTCATCCTTAATTGGAGTAGCCATATTACTCATGGTTATTCCAGTACAAGGTTTGTACAAAACATATATTCACAAAAGTTCCATTTACCTATACCATTAATACCTATCGCCGTCATTAATGTTATATTTATTTTCAGGTTGGATAGGAAAGAAAATATCTGTATATCGATTAAATACAGCCGTTCGGACGGACGAGAGAGTACGTTTGATGAATGAAATTATATCAGGAATCCAAGTTATTAAAATGTACACTTGGGAAAAACCTTTCGCAAATTTTGTAGAATATGCAAGAAGGTTTGATCTAGAATCTAATAGATTACTTACTTGAATAAATAATAAATAATTATAATTTATAACTGTCGTTGTAGAAAAGAAATAAATCAGATTAAAGGATCATCGTACTGCAGATCTGTAATGTTATCTTTTAGTGCCTTCCATACTAGGATTGCAATGGTTTTCAGTATATGTGCATATGTGTTACTTGGAAACTATATCTCTGCCCAACAAGTAAAGCTAATTGTGTAATTAATTAGAAAGGTTTAAAAATGCTATTTATAAATAATTAGTTCAACCCGTTTAGGTATTTGTCATAACTTCGTATTATACTTTATTACGGAACACAATGACAGGATTTTTTCCTCAAGGAATTGCAATAGTAGCGGAAATGCGTATATCGATTCAACGACTCCAGGTAACTATCCACTTAACAATAATAATATAATATAAAGTATATCAGAAAGTAAAAAAATAAGTAAATATAATATAAGAAACAAATTGCTTAAAAATATATCAGATATATAAATAATATGTATTGTTTTAGAACTTTTTAATGTACGAAGAAAATATAAATCAAATAGCTTTCCCCTCAAAATCCGATAAGAAAGCTGTTAATAGTAACATAGAAGTCAAAACTACTAATCAAAATTTGTCATCTATCAATGTAAAATACAATGGCAATGGATCACCTCAATTAAACAACATTGGAATCGTTGTAAACAATGCTACAGCTAAGTGGACAGAAGCTCAAACCGAAAACTCTCTCGATAATATTAATCTAACTGTAATACCGGGTCGATTAGTTGGAGTGATCGGTCCCGTAGGATCTGGAAAAGTATACATAAATGAATACTTTATTATTTTAATTGCTTGTAAATATCATAAAAAATGTATTATAAAAATTTCAGAGTTCATTATTACAAGCGATTTTACGAGAACTACCACTATCCGGAGGAAAAATAACAGTGCAGGGTGTAGTTTCTTATGCATCTCAGGAACCGTGGTTATTTGCTGGTTCTGTACAACAAAATATTCTATTTGGTTCAACAATGGACGTTGAGCGTTATAAAAAAGTAAGCATCTGTAATGACCATTTAAATGTGTTTAGTCGAATCTTAATCTCTTATTGTTATTTTCTAATTTAAAAATAGGTTATACAAGTGTGTGCATTAAAAACTGACTTGGAACAGTTTCAATATGGTGATAAAACGATGGTGGGAGAAAGAGGAATTTCTCTCAGTGGTGGACAAAGGGCGAGAATAAATTTGGCACGGTAAAAGAAAACAATTTTTTTTTTTTTAGTAATAAATTAATAAAAATAATTTTGTTAATATCATAATACCAGGGCTGTATACAAACAAGCGGATATTTATTTATTGGATGATCCTCTATCAGCAGTGGATGCTCATGTTGGCAGGCATTTATTTAGAAAATGTATCAAAGGTAATAATATTTAAAAAATATTGTTGTAATACGTATTGACATTTTATTTCTATTTAATAGGTTACCTTAGAGATAAAACTTGTATTCTTATTACCCACCAAATACAATACTTGAGTAGTGTAGATCAAATTATACTCATGGATAAAGTAAATATAATACCTATAGAAAATACAACTAGTCAATACATTTTTTTGTAGTTTTATATTTAACATAATTAATGGTATTCCAGGGAAATGTTTTAGCTGAGGGTTCGTACCAAGATCTTCAGAACTCTGATTTCGATTTTACGAAAATTCTCGGGTCACCTGCAGTAGAAACAACAACTCCATCTTATAATGAAAATATTCCCAAAAATACAAGTCCTATAAGTCAAAGAGTAGCTTACAGTCGACAAACGTCTATACAAAGTATGGCATCATCGGTTGGAGATATCCAATTCAATGAATATCAAGAACAGCCTGCTGAAGTAGCTGAAACTCGTACATCAGGAAGTGTTTCAAAAAATGTTTATTCATCCTATTTTCTTGCCGGTGGAAGTGTTTTTAAAATATTCTTCTTCTTTACCATATGTATACTCACTCAAGTACTGGCATCAGGTGGAGATTTTTGGATGACCTATTGGTATGGTATAACGTGTTTCTAATCTGCTGAAAAATATTATTTGGTATTGTATATTTTTTAGGGTAAATCTAGAAGAACGTGTTTTTTATAGAGTGAAAGATGTTTCTGGCGATCCGTCTACGCAATTATTATGGTGGTCAATTACTCGAGAGACATGTTTCATTGTTTTTGGAGTTTTAACTTTATTGTTGATAGTTGGAACTATCATCAGGTCCCATACATTCGTATCAGTTAGTATGAAATGTTCAATGACTTTGCACAATAAGATGTTCAACTCTATAACAAGAGCTACAATGTCTTTTTTTAACACAAATTCATCAGGTAATGAAGTAATACATTTAAAAATTATTTCCATATATTGTGTATAATTGTTTATTTTTATTATATAACAAAGGACGTATTCTTAACCGATTTTCCAAGGACATGGGAGCTATTGATGAGATATTATCAGCAGCAATAATCGATTGCATACAAGTAATATATTTAATATATAGCTATATTTGAATACTGCAATATTTATAATGATATTATTTAACCTAGATTGCATTATTATTACTGTCAATTGTGATAGTTATTGGAATTATCAATTTCTACCTTATGATACCTACTTTTTTCATTGTCATTTTATTTTACAAATTTCGAGTATTTTATTTATCAACGTCTCGCAGTATCAAACGGTTGGAAGGAGTTAGTAAGTACAACAGAAATTAATTTGATTATTAATATTTCATAACAGAGAGTTTAAAAAAAAGAAAAATATTAATTTATGTTGTTAATGTGTAGCAAGAAGTCCCGTATTTGCCCATTTTAATGCATCACTTCAAGGTTTAACTACAATAAGGGCATATGGAGCAGAACAAATTCTGTGTAGTGAATTTGACAACCATCAAGTTCGTGATGAATATTTAAACATTATTCTTTAATCTATATATTATATATAATATTATCATTCTAGGACCTACATTCATCGGCTTGGTATATATTTATGTGTTCGAGTAGAGCATTTGGATTGTGGTTGGATATGGTATGTTTTGTCTATATAACAATTGTAACATACAGCTTCTTGGTAATCGGAAATAGTAAGTTTAAAATAATATAATATATGATTATGACAAAAGATAATATTTAATAATTTATCAGGAATAAACTTTATTTTTAAGAAATAATAATCATGGTATAATAAATTATTATAAAAACAAACTGAAAAAAATATATTTATTTTATAAAATAGGTAGGTAACATAGTAAATATTAAAACTAGTCAATGGAACCCACTTATCTAGGCATGTTTCTTATAAGTAAAAATATTCAATTAAGTTCAATACTAATTGATTTTATTTTATTTTATTTCAGCCACATATGGAGGAAATGTTGGTTTAGCTATTACACAAGCAATTGGTCTGGCTGGGATGTTCCAATATGGAATGAGACTATCAGCCGAATTAGAGAACCAAATGACTGCAGTTGAAAGAGTACTTGAATACACAAATGTCCCACAGGAAGATGCTCTTGAATCATCGCCAGGTAATAATATACAATTTTAATACGTTTTGATTACCAGCTATATAAAGATATAAATGGTTAAACTGATATTTTTACTTAGAAAAAAAACCACCTACGGAATGGCCTTCGAATGGACAGATTGTTTTCAAAAACTTTTATCTTCGATATGGCGCTGATAGTCCATTTGTAGTCAAAAACCTCAATATAAATATCGAATCAATGGAAAAAGTACTACAGAAACTAGTAACTAACGATATCAATTAATATTAATATTTATCAATTTATTCTTTAAGGTAGGAATCGTAGGAAGGACTGGTGCTGGAAAATCATCGTTAATTGGAGCATTATTTAGATTAGCCATTAATGAGGGCAATATCATCATCGACGATATAGAAATACATGATATAGGACTTCACGACCTGAGGTCTAAGCTTTCTATCATCCCTCAAGAACCTATTTTGTTTTCAGGAACAATGCGAACCAATTTAGATCCATTTAATGAATACCCGGATCATGTTCTTTGGAATGCATTAGATGAAGTAAACATTTTAGTTCAATCTTTGATTCTCATAAATAATATATATTATATTAATTATATTTTTAATTGTTTATTTTATAGGTGGAACTAAGATATATTGTTGAAGAATTACCCAATGGTCTGAATTCATTAATGTCCGAAGGTGGTTCCAATTTCAGTGTTGGCCAAAGACAATTGGTGTGTTTAGCTAGAGCTATTGTACGAAACAATAAGATTCTTGTAATGGATGAAGCCACTGCCAATGTTGATCCACAGTAAAATTATACAATTTAATAAATAATAATATATAATATTATATTATATAGCACGTTCTGTTTTATAATTACAAATACATATAAATATATATTTTTTTTTTTTTTTTTGTAGAACTGATGCATTTATCCAAAACACTATTAGAAATAAATTCCGAATGTGTACGGTATTAACCATTGCTCACCGTTTGAATACAGTTATGGACTCAGACAAGGTACTTGTAATGGATGCAGGTGTAATGGTTGAATTCGACCATCCACATAATTTGTTGAAAAATAAAAATGGATTCTTGTATAAAATGGTGGAACAAACTGGACAGACCACTGCAGAACTTTTACATACTGCAGCTGCAGAGGTATTAGATATTTTTATAGGCTAATAAATTGTATATTTAATATGTATTTAAAAATTTTTTTACAGAGTTATAACAAGATGATTTTAACGAAAGAACATCTTGTCAAATCGTGAAAAGAAAATGCTATTGATCTTCAAATTTTCATAAATTCAATCGTTCCTTAATCCTTATTTTCCGGTACGAAATAAGTATGGCAGCATCAATCCAACATTTTTCTAGTAAAGAGTGCTGTTTTTGAGCACTGACATTATACATAATTGTAATAAGTATTAGGTTTAGGTTAAATTGTAAATATTTATCTAATTGTAATTGTTAATTTAATAAACTCTAAAAATGTGTTCAATGTAATAATGCATTTGTCATTTGTCATATTATATCAATAATTATCATGTACCTACCATAAGACTTTGTTGTTTATTTGTCTACTAAAAAATATTTTTAATTAAAAATGTTTTCTTATATTATTATAAAACTGAAAAAACTTCAAGATTGAAAACCTTTATGATTCATTTTTGGTCCGACCGTCAGAAGTTTAAAATTAACAAAATCATGTCATAATTTATTATAATTTTCTCTTTACGCCCAGGATATGTCCACCAATAAAACTAACCAACAACACAATTCCTACTGTATCCAAAGTAAATATCTAGACTTAACTTTTAACAAGCGCCTGGGCTCCTTGCCTTAATAATCTAAACATAAATAAACAACTATTTCCTGACTATTCCTTCTTCGTCCTTTCATCTGATCTAAATTGTTAATCAACTGTAAACTCGCAATAATATATAAAGCCATAATAAGACCCGCCTGTAGTCCGGACATATGGAATCCAAGTATATCACTGATCAGCCAAATCCTCAAATTTTATAACGCTCCAGGTGTTACAGTCCATTTTCTTCGTCAATTTTTCTCCCCTCTATTGTACATAACAATTAACAACAATCTCCACAAACACCTCAAAGTTAAAACACTAAATCAGTTAACAGAAACTCACTATACCACACTTCTTCAAAGAGCTTAAAATCAAACTTCTGTCTTCTCGTACCATCCCCAAACATTATAAGCAGACTGCTAAAAAGATACTAGGGGGCAGTAGGGGCCTACAATAGACCTGCCAAAATAAATCTACTGGACGGCACTGTATTGTTTGCTTCTCCTTCTGTCATTTCTGTTTTTTAATTAAGTCACAAATTAATTATTTTAAATAAGCGTTTATGAATTATAGTTATGTTTTTAAATAATAAAAACACACATCATTGTGAAATCAGTACAAATTTATAGTTCCGCTCAGGATTTAAAAAAAAAATTAAAAACCAGTGGATTGTATTCCTCGTTTAAATCGTTGTCATTCAGGTACTTCATATTTTAAAAGTAGGTTTGCTACCCACTACAGTATTACCTACCAATTGGCTATTACATACGTGACATCGACAATAATATAAAATTGTGTTGCCGTGTTGTGCACAAACTACGCTTGTAATGAATAATTAAACTTACTATCAGTTATCGCGTAACTATGCTTAACATATTGTATTAATAATATGTATTCATATTCTATTGTTGCATACTATTACGTGAAATTCTAAAATTTAATTCCACTGTGAGTTCAAATCTGCCTTACAATGTATATTTCAATTTACAATATTGTTTTAGTTTTGCGGCAATAGCACTGTTATATTATGAATTTACCTACTGTTTATTTGTATACGTACAGAAGCTTTCAAGTCCTTTATAAAGATTATAAATTTATTGAAGATTGTAAATACAGATTTGGCGTTTAAACTTTGAAGTATAACTTCCGGAGAGTGATGGAAAAAAATTAATCATGAAATCGGCTGGAAGAAAGTTAATGATCTGTTGGGCATTCTACGTGGTTTCCTGTATTCCAATCTCTTTTAATCTTCTATTATTTTATAGAAGTTGGAAACGATTAGACGAATATTAACACTCTCGCACATATTGCATATAAATATATAAAAAGCCGCTCTGCTGTACAGTAGGTTACAAGCGGGTCACTGTATAATGGATGGTATTAAATTTGAATTCAATGATATAATATCATTGTTTAAGAAAAACGATTCTGAGCGGAGACGGTATGTCAGTCTACGAATGAGACTTACTAAATATACTTATCTATGGTATTAAAAAAAAAATTGACCTATTATAGGTACCTATAATAAATTCCAAATTAATCATATCACAATACCCATTACGTCAGGAGTCTCCAAACTACGGCCCTCGAACAAATTTTAACCGGCCCGCATAGGACGAATAGGTAAATATAGATAAAAAAAATTATTTCAAAAATGTATTTATATTATATTATATTTATACCTATTTATTTGTATTTAAGTATATTGTAAAGTAAACAATATTTTATACAAAAATATAAAGTAAACATATTATTTATATAGGTAGGTACCTAATATATTATCATAAAATTAAAAATTATATGTGTAATAAACTTTTGGCCCGCTAAGAGCATTTGATTTTTTTTGTGGCCCTTGAATAAAAAAGTTTGGAGACCCCTGCATTAGGTACTTATAACGTGTTATACATCAACAACAAACCGTGATACTATCATAGATATATAATAGTATACTTTAGAAGTTTTAAGTACCCACGAATAATATTACACAATCATAACAAAATAATTAAAATAGTTATTCTAGGTTTTTATTATGTAATTTCGTAAATATTTTAACTTAAAATGAGTATAAAAAAAACTGTGCTTATGTATTTTTGAGAGCTTTTGGTAACAGATTTCTAATTTCTACTTACGTGGAATCATGTTTTAAATTTTCATAATTCAGATTTAAAAGTTGAACATTTTATAAACTTTTAACTACAAAATACTTTAATACTAACATTATCTATTTCCCTAAAGGCTAAAATACACACTTACTACTAAATATATACAATAATTTGGATTACATTTTTTGTCCAACTTAAAATGTTTGTTTATTTAATTATTACGGATAGGTAAATGTGATAAAAGTATAATTTTAAGTTCTGATTGATAAGTAAAAAAAATATTTTATGGGAGTGCTCTAAGACAATATAAATTATAGGTTTCTAAACACTTGGATTAACTAATCCAATAACATGTTTAATACATTTAATACAATCGGATTAATAATAGTATAATAGTTATTATGCAATGGCAATTCTACGTACCTAAAGTTATTCATATAATTATAACATGTGACAATAATAATTAAGAACTCATGAGCTATCTATCAAAATATAAGTACTTAGATATGAAGTTACAACAACTTTTCAAAGATGTGGGTACAGACAAATTATGTTATATATTATTTAGGACTTAGGTACATAATATTATGATTAATTTAAGAGATTAAATCAATTAAATTATTAAATATTATTTGTTTTGTTTTTTTTTTTTAAATGCTTACAATTTATTTACATTTATTATTAACAATTAAATAAAAATGGTTTGAAATTTGTATTATACGTAATGTATGACCTTTTTTGATGCTATTGTAAAAAACAATTCATTAATCATATTTAGTCATATTAAATGTGCCCCCCCCCCCATTGGGCTTGCATTGATTGCAAAGGAAAAAGTAATAAATCAATTGTTTCTATTTTCCATGTTTATATGATAAATGAAATGTTATACCAAAATAAATAAGAATCTTAATAACATAAGTAGCGTCTGAATGACGGAATGTATCACTATTATAAAATATATGTCTATGAATGACATCACTTCATTATATTTAAATTTCTAAAAGCGAGTAAAACTATAGTTTGCAATAAGTTAATCTTATTAGGAATTTTTTTTTTAAAGTAGAGCAATATAAGGCATGAACTCATTATTTACAATTGATTACAAATAATTAATGGTATTTATGCACTTGAATCAGGTACTATATCTATCCATGTCTTAGTTACTATCATGTACTGCAACTATACAGGTATTGGATGTTATTACTAAACAAGTATTAAGTATATAGCAGTTAAGTAACAAAAAATAAGATATATTCGAAAAAAATTCTGGAAAATGTAAGTAGTTTCTTTTGTTTAGAACACATTTCTCTGAGTATTATATACTTTAATTCTGAAAAATGTGTATTGCACTATTGCTATTAATATTTATTAGGCTATAATAAACCATACCCATAATAATATGTTCTTCATCAATTTATCATAAATATTTCAGTTCAAATTAGACTCTGAATTGTATTATGGTGAAAAAAAAACCTTATAATTAAGGGGTATGGATAGTATTGAAGAATAATATGGTTTATTAAGCGGTTTTAGAGTAAATTCAAATATTATCAATATTGTATAAGAGAAGTTAATCTATGGCCGTATTAAAATCAATTTCTGATATTGTAATTACTAAACTCAATAATTCAAATTCCAAAAATAAAATATCACAAGTATTAAAGCTAAATATTGGACTTTGAAAATAAAATATCGAAAATCGACTCCTATACAAGCCTAGATAAACTTTTAACACTATTGTAGAGGTTCATTGTTCATTGTTTTGAACTTACCTATACTCCAAGTACAAAATTTGATTTCAGAAAGGTTTTTAATCATAATATGTAAAATGAATTTGTATTATTAAAATATGCATCGATATCTCTATTGATATAATATGATGATGAAAAATATATAATCCTTAAATTTTAAGTTATTATTTATAACATAGTCATGACAATATGATATACTTACAATCTCTAAATCCTTTTCTTCTTCTTCTTCTTTGGCTTTTTACAGGCCTTTAAGGCCCATTGCCGCAACAACATATTGTCTCCAATCTTCTCTATCTTGTGCTGTTTCTTCAGCATTCCTTACTCCCAGCATTTTCAGGTCTTCTTTTATTCTATCTGTCCATCTTTGTCTAGGTCGTCCTCTGGGTCTCTTTGTGGTTGGTTTCCATGCAGTTATATGTCCGATTAGTCTTTTTGATCTCCATACGTGTCCGGCCCAGCCTATTCGGGCGCTTTTCAAGATCCCAACGATATTGGGTTCGTTATATAGTTCTTCTAAATTTTTATTGCTTCGTGATTCATATTCTCCTTCATAGTTTTTCTTTGGGCCAAATATCTTCCTCAAGATCTTTCTCTCAAACACTTCTAACTTTTTTTCATTTGACTTTGTCGTCGCCCAAGTACTGCTTGCATACAGAGCTACTGGTCTAACTAGAACTTTATATAATGTTACTTTGGATTTTCTTGATAATAGTTTTGACTTGAACAATGGTAATAGTCCATAGTAACACCTGTTCGCTGCGATGAGCCGTTTTTTCACTTCTTCGTGGCTATTAGAATCTTCATTAATATCTGCACCTAAGTATTTAAAATTTCCTACCCTTTCAAACGTGTACTTATTTACTTTCAAGGGGTCTGATCTGTGATTGTGTCTAGATACTATCATGTATTTTGTCTTTGTCTCATTTATTTTTAAGCCAATTTTTTTCCCTCCTTTAGCAATATATCTGTTGTGTTTTTTAGGTCGTTAACTGTTTTGGCTAATAGGACTATATCATCAGCGTAAGCAACAGCTGTTAGATGTTGATTGTCTTTTATTTCCATGCCCTTTGCTTGGGATATTACTGTCCTCATAACTGATTCTAAAGTGATATTGAACAGTGCTGGTGATAGAGCGTCACCTTGTCTGAGTCCAGTCGTCACCGGAAACTCCTCAGATAATTCTCCTCCAAAACTAATTTTACTCTTTGAATTATAAGTACACGATTTTATTAATCTGGTTAACTTGGCTGGTATTCCTAACTGGTCCATGACTTCAGATAATTTGTCTCTGTTGATTGAGTCATTAGCGGCTTTGAAGTCAACAAATAGTAAATAGGTATCTTTATTGTATTCGTGACTCTTCGCAACAACTTGTTTTACGATGTGTATTTGATCTAATGTTGATTTTCCTAACATAAGACCAGCTTGGTATTCTCCAATTATTTCTTTGATGTATGGGTTTATTCTAGTCAGTAGTATGTTGGACAATAGTTTATATGAAGTATTGAGTAGTGAAATCCCTCTATAATTTTCACACTCCATGATATCTCCTTTTTTGTGTATAGGGCAAATTATGGATATACGCCCTGCTTCGGGTATCTCCTCTTGTTCCCAGATTGTGTTCATAAGTTTGTGTAGCTGGTTCAACAGACCTTGGCCTCCCTTTTTTAGGCATTCAGATACTATTTCATCATCTCCCGGTGCTTTCCCGTTTTTAGCATATCTAGCCCTATCTTCACTTCTTCTTCTGATGGTTTTTCAAGCAGCTGTTCTACAGTAGAATGTTGAAGTACGGTGTTATTTTCATTTGATTGGTTTAACAATTTTTCGAACATATCTTTTAATTCATTCAATTTCTTTACTCTCCGTTAGTAATGATCCATCATGTTTCTTCATTACTGTTGGTCTAATTTGATATCCATGTTCAATTTCATTTGCTTTTTCGAAAAATATTTTGGAGTTGTTATTCCTGTTGTTTTCTATGGTAGGTATCCGTTCTTTTTCCCATAATCTCTTATTCCTTCTGATAGCTTTTTTTGCATCCCTTTGTTTTTGTGCTAGTAGCCTTTTAAATCCTTTTACACTTATTAAAATATCTTTTATTCATAATAATTAATTAAATTCTTAATTTTGTTTAAAATATTACTAAACATTGCACATATTATTATTTTTTAATATTTTAGACTCAAAATGGATGCTACTTACAAAGAAGAAAAACCACTCAATCCAAGATCAAAGGCTAATATTTTTGAAATTGTAACCTATGGGTAAACTTTTAATACAACTTTATATTTTAATTATAATTTATATTATGTGAAAAAAACCACAAATTATTAATGATTGTTAAAATTTTAAATATATATTCATATGAAATAGAATAGTTTTGTATAAAAAAAAGCATCCAAGATCTCTTGGACTAAATTACTTTAATTTATATAATATTTTTTTAACCTATTGTTATATTATGGTTTCCATAATATATCTAAGAAAATGGACCATTTTTAATCAAAGAAACCTCGAGTGTAACAGAAAGAACTGATAGAATTTTTGTACCTCCATTGATATTAGTAAAATTAGTAATTAAGTAAATTAATATCTATGAATATAATAAACTAATAAATTGTTTATCAATCTATTGTTTGAATTTGATTGAAATATTATGCTTATTTTTAAGTATAGGTACCTACTACCTATAATATTATGTTATAAAAAAAATTTGAATTTAAAAAGTTAGTTGTTATTCGTATTTTTCAATTATCTCTGTTACACTCTGCAGGCACCTATGTAAATGTTGATCACCAACTTTTGTAACTTACCTACTTGCTTCGTTTTGGTAGGTACCTACTATCTAATCATTCCTAAATTTTACCAATATATCATCCATTTTCCCTTTTCTAACAGGAGTCCGCCAGAGAGCTTATCTATTATATTACATACAGCTGCAGATCTGATAATCATCACCTCCTACACCTAAGTAGCATACCTATATTGCAGTCAATAAAAAATAATAAAAATATATACTTAATAATCACATGCAAATAAAGCTAGAAATTACTAAAAACCTTTCAATAAATATAATATTACAACCTTAAGAATATATTAAAATAAACCTCCTTATGTGATTTTTACAATATTTCCTATTAGCACAAATGCTAAAATTGTACTTCCCTACTTGTTAAAAGACATTCATAATTAACCAATTAAATAAGCTATTTAATAGAAATATCTAAAAAATAAAAATTGCGTTGAATGATTAATATCCCTTTAACACATTTTTATTGTTTAAAGGTGGATTTTAAAATTTATCAAAAAAGGATTAAAACAAGAATTTGACTTGGTTGACTTGTATAATGTTTTGGATGATGATTCGTCAGCTTTATTGGGAAGTAAATTACAAAAGTAAACAGTTTATTATCTATGTGTTTATACACAAGTTTTAATCAATATATTAGAAAATATTATAAATCGATTTTCGTATTAATTTTTTTCTAGATATTGGGATGACGAATTGATAAACGCAAAAACTAATAACCGGAATCCTAGTTTTCTCAAGACGCTATTTAAAATGTTTGGCACAAAGTTTATGTTTTATGGAATTACTTTGACGGTAATCCAGATTATTTTAAGGTAGGTAATGTTTAGAATATAATTTATTAAAGGTACCTATCAAAAATATAAAAAATATAATAATATCATATAAAGATATAACTTTTTTTTATTAATGTTAAGAGGACGTCGCGTCGCTAATGTTGTCTCCGTCTTAAACACGTACGACATGGACAATGTTCGTTCACCAGTTTCAATAGTTTTCTGTCGGTTTTTATAGTAGAACGAATTTGCCTATTATCAGATTTTTAGGTAAGAACAATATATGAGGGGCGACATTTCAAAACGTACTATTTCCTTTGTTCAATCTTGATTCAAATCAATTTGAAAAATAGCAAATCGTGATTTCTCAAAAAGGTGTAAAATGGAAATAGTACGTTTTGAAATGTCGCCCCTCGTATGTGTTCTCTAGTTAGTTTTTCACGATATTACGATATTTAAATTAGTTAGTCAAGTGAGTTATGAGTATGTAAAATATTATTATTGGAAAATGCTCAACAATTAAAATATCGTAAAAAACTAACGACAGTACACAGACAGTACGACAGATATTGTCTAAAAGTTTGATAATAGGCAAATCGCTCTAATATCAAAACTAACAGCACAAAATTGAAACTGGTGAATGAAAATGTGTTATGTCATACGTGTGTAAGACGGAGACAATATTATATTATGCGGGCACGAAGTCCTCTGAAAGCCTCGGTATGTGAACCATTGGGTTGAATTTTTTTAAACTATTATATACCTATTTACAATTTACGAGTGTATGTTTTGTAAGAATATTAATTATTAAGACGACTATAGTTATTGATCCTTATTATTTTTGTTAAATAGCATAGGCATTTCGACTACGGTAGGACTAATAGTCAATCATTTTGAAACTAATACGTCATCTTTTGATCAAAATCCAGTTGGAGTATATTTAGCAATCGGATTAATTACTCTTTTGTTGATAAGATCAATTGCCTTTAATTCCTACAGCATGTCAATTGCACATATATCGATGAAAATGCGAGTAGCGACATGTGATCTGATTTACAATAAGGTAGGTTAGGTAATACTATACTTAAACTCTAACATATAATACCGAGCCTAAGTAAACATTTCCTAGAAAATAATGTTAACAATTATTCTCTATTGTATTACTTTCAAATTTCAATCAATATCACTATTATTAACAATGTATAATGTATATATTATATCTTACACAACTTGTATAGGAATATTAATAATTTCATGTAATATCATGAAATTTATGTTTGTATTATTAATTATTTATTATTATCTATATATTTATTTCTTACATAAGTAGTATTTTTTTTTTTATATAATTTATAAACTATTTTCAATTTTACACAATATAATTTAATGCGCCACTTAATAATAATAATAATAATAATAGACTATTTATCCAAAAAAAAAAGGTTTCGGATATAAATATATAATATTCTAAATATTATATTGATTATTGACTGTGTCAGGTTTTTCCCTTTTGATATATTATCCAGATAATAATAAATTACCAACTTTTAAAAAAATATTACCTATATAAAATTATAAGCATACAGTTACATATTTGACAATATAATTTATTTTATTAGGCATTGCGACTCAAAATAAATTCACTGGATCCGAGTACAACTGGACATATAATAAACTTAATATCAAATGATGTTAACCGATTTGATGTGTCTATAGTATGTATACCTTTTTTATGGCTCGGCCCTTTGGAAACATTTGTTTCTATTTTTTTTTTGTGGCGAGAAGTAGGTGTGTCATCAGTTATAGGAGTGGGTGCGTTACTCATATTTATACCATTACAAGGTTAGTAAAGAATAATTTAAATGTCGGTTAATATTTATATAAAATGTTATTTCGGTTTATATTTAAGTCTGGTTGGCGTCAAAGACATCTATTATTCGATTAAAAACGGCGAACCTAACCGACAAGAGGGTTCATTTAATGAATGAAATAATATCGGGATTACAAACAATCAAGATGTATACTTGGGAACCATTTTTTGATAATCTTACAAGACAATTAAGAAAGTAATTTATTAAAAAAATAACTTAAATTAAATAAACAAAATAAAAATATTTTGGTTGATTGTAGGAAAGAAATGACCAAAATTATTGAATCGTCGTACATAAAACGTATTTTGTCGTCGTTCTTTATATTTAACACAAGGATCGCATTGTTTGTAAACATTTTTTCATACGTTCTGCTCGGAAACTACATAACCGCATCAAAAGTAATGTAGTACCTACCTATTCATAATAATTTTATACATACTATTATGGGTAAACTTTAATACTATTATATAAGATTTAAATCTTATTTAGAACACAGAACTCACAAAGTCCAAATAGACAATGTTATAAGCTCCTGTAAAACAATGTCCTTAGGAGTACCGCAAGGCACAGTACTATCCCCATTATTATATATTATATACGTCCCTGCTTTATCGAACCTACAAATTGATGGTAGCCTATACTCTTATGCAGATTATACAGCTTTACTGATATCTGATAACACTTGGGACTCAGTAACAAAAAAATCAGAAAAATCCTTAAAAAAAGTCGTTACTTGGTTTTCAAATCATAATTTAACTCTTAATAATAACAAAACGGTCTTTATAACATTTTCAAATATCTCAAGAACATCACCAAACTTTTTTACTTTAAAGTCTCATGCCCAAAATTTTAATCAGAATATACAATGTAATTGCCCTATCATTCAAAGGACTAATCAAACCAAATACTTGGGAGTTACATTCGACCAACATCTACGTTGGAACCGCTGAACTTAATTTAAAATTACGAAAACTGTATGCCTTTTATAATATGGCTAAACACTTTCTTAACACACATTGGTTAAAAAATACTTACTTTGCCCTATCACAGTCCATAATAGAATATGGTATTATGGCTTGGGGAGGAGCTCCTCTAACATATACAAACAACTTACAAGTAGCCCAAAACACCATTTTAAAAATTATATTTCACACACCTAGACTTCAACCTACAAAACAATTATACTCAGGCACTAAACTACTATCCATTAAAAAATTATACCATAAAAAAACTTTATTCTACCTCTTTAAAAATAATCTAGCACAAACAGCCACACATAATCATAATACAAGATCTGAAAATCTAATATTTCCCAAAATAAACACATCTAAATACTATAACAGCTATCTCATAAGTCATAACGGGCTTGAGACTATATGAAAGGCTCCCTCCTATTATAACAAATTGTGATAAATTTAAAAACTTTAAATTTCTTATAAAGAGATGGTTATTACACAATGAACCAGCTATATGACTGTATTTTTTCTATATTGTAAAGTTATTTATTTTGTATTACACCTCGTTATATACTATCCTATTTTGCTCATATAATATTTTTTGTTTTGTTTTCTATAACTACTAGCGGCAATGGTATTTATCATTATATTCTTCATAATTTATTTTACTATTATATTCGTTCATTTAATTAACTAATTTTTCTTTTATTCTCTTAGAGACTCTCGCCCATCAAAACAAGGAACTTATCCTTAGTGTTGGGCGAAGCAATTTAATCACAAATATGTATATATATCTTCTGTTTCAAACAATTATTGCTGAATAAAGTATTTATTATTATCTATTATCTAAAACATGTATACAAAAAATTATAAATCAAATTTAAAAAATAGTAAAATAGTTAAACTGGTGTCAGTCTAATCTAATAGCGTGTATGGTATTATTGGGAGTTGTGTGTCAAATTCTTCCTTGTCAGAAATTAGAAACTTCTGTTCCATCTTTGATCGCTGACATGGTGTCGTCCATACTTCCATAGTCTTTTGTATAAGAAGTTTGCCACTTTGGGCAGTTTATTAGGTAGGTAGGTCGTGGTATGAAATTGTTCACAATCACAAAGTGTATAATGTATATTTATTATAAATAAGGTCCCATTTTCCTGATTCTCCTTGGACCACCCAACGCCTGATCTTAGTCTTGGTCTCTCTCTAGGCCTCTCCAAATTATGCCCTGCAGGTAGGTGTTCGGCTGGTTTCTCCAGCTCCTGGTTTCATTGTCTGATATTTGAATTAATATTCATTACCTAATAATTAGATACTTAATTCATAATTGTATAGTACTTTAATTTATTCTTATACAATTATCGATTCAATATAGTATCATATTATGTAATCAGTAAACAAATAAACAATATAATATCAAATCGTAATATTCTTAATTTAATTTAATTTCATATTTTATTAAATTAAGGTTTTTATTATAACAACATACTATACCATGTTGCGGTCGTCATTAACATTACTTTTCCCACCAGGGATAAGTTTAGCTGCTGAATTACTAGTTTCAATCAAAAGATTTGAGGTATGGAAGATAATTAAATAAAATATACGACATTTTTATTTATATTATTTAATAATAATTTAAATTAATTTATAGAATTTCCTATTACGCGAAGAGAAGGATAAACGACCAATAAGTCAAAAAAATACTACTACTTTGTTGGAAAAATCAAGTAATGGTATTGAAATGCCAAATAACAATAGTAGCAAACAAAATGATACTGAACAATTAAGTAATTCTAGTATAGTTGTATCGAACGCAACCGCCAAGTGGTCAGACAATCAAACCGATAATACATTAGAAAATATCAATTTAACTGTAAGACCAGGTCGTTTGGTTGCAATAATCGGTCCAGTTGGAGCTGGAAAAGTATGAATAATATAAATAACCTAACTTATAACCATTTTTCATCTTTCACACACCATTACATTTCATAGAGTTCGTTGATACAAGCAATTTTACAAGAGTTACCACTTTCTGAAGGAAACATTTCAGTGCTTGGAGTAGTGTCTTACGCATCACAAGAACCATGGTTATTTGCAGGTTCTGTAAAACAAAATATTTTATTTGGTTCACCAATGGATAAGGATCGTTATAAAAAAGTAAACTGTTTAATATAATTTAAACTTAAGAAACCAAAAAACTACTTTAGTATTTATTTTTTGTTTCATTGTGACTTAGGTTATACAAGTTTGTGCATTGAAAACTGATTTAGAACAGTTGACATACGGCGATAAAACAATAGTAGGGGAAGAGGAGTTTCTTAGTGGTGGACAAAGAGCAAGAATCAATTTAGCAAGGTAATGAGTTTATTTATTCTTTGAAAAATACTTAAATAGGTACTATTATATGGTGTAATATAGAGCAATATACAAACAAGCAGATATTTATTTATTGGATGATCCTCTATCAGCAGTTGACACTCGTGTTGGAAAGCATTTATACGAAAAGTGCATAAAAAGTATTTAAAAATGTTTAATATCGTATCTGACATCTGTAATTTAATTATTTTCAAATGTATAGATTACCTCAAAGAAAAGACTTGCATACTCGTAACCCATCAGATTCAATACTTAACTAATGTAGATCAAATTGTTTTGATGGAAAATGTAAGTATAATAATATCATATTATGTCATAATATGTAATTGTATAAGTGTAGAACGTTAACATTTCTACTTTTTATATTACTTTCTGTAATAGGCAAAAGTGGTAGCAGAAGGTTCTTATAAAGAACTTCAAACTTCTGGTTTAGACTACACTAAATTACTCGAATTGTCTACTGAAACCGCAGTTTTACCCGGTAATGATACTAAAATGGATAAATCTAGCCATAATAATATAGCACGGTCCATATCGTATAGTCGGCAAGAGTCTATCTTAAGTGTTGGGTCATCAATCGAAGAAACCAAATGTAGAGAAATTATAACTGAACCTGAGGAAGTAGCTGAAACCCGTTCTTCGGGAAATATATCATTTAATGTTTATATGTCATATATTTTCGCTGGTGGTCATTTGTGCAAAGTTATAAGTTTAATATTGATGTGTATCTGTACGCAATTCCTTGCATCGGGTGGAGAGTATTGGGATAACTTATTGGTAAGTGCCTAATTGTTTTCATAAACTCATAAATTATCTGAATATTCCTATAAAATGTTGGTTTGGTTTTAGGGTAAATTTAGAGAAACATGTGTTTGGTGCAACAAAACCTATCAATCAAAACAACTCTACGACAGTTGATTCTTCTGTAGAGCTGACGCAGTGGATTGTGTCAAGGAATACTTGTGTCATTGTCTTTGCAGCACTAACAATCTTAATCGTATTAGCTACCTTAGCGGAATCAACTTTATTAGTATCTCTATGCACTACGGCATCAACGAATTTACATAATAAAATGTTCAGTGCTATTACAAGATCAACAATTAATTTTTTAAATAAAAATCCATCAGGTAAAAAAATTTTTTAATTTTTTTTTTACTACTTTAACTGTAATTTTATTTCAATTAGGGCGAATTCTTAATCGTTTTTCAAAAGATATAGGACTAATTGATGAAATATTGCCTAATGTATTAGTCGATGTTTATACAGGTAAAATATAATAATATGATTTATATTTAAAAATATAGATATTGTATATTTACTTATTTATTTATAAATTTATTAATTTAATTTAATTATTTTATTTTATTTTATTTACTTTATTAGGTTGGTTGATGGGGCTGGGATGTTGTGGTGTGGGACCGTCAATCCTTATTAATCTACCAACAATAATTGTAATGATAGTTTTTGTTAAAATTAGATACGTTTATATGACTACAACTCGTAAAATAAACGTCTAGAAGGAGTTAGTAAGTTGCATAATTTACAATAATTAGATACTGTATTTTAATAAAAATATAAGGTTTAAATAATATAATTTGTATTAATTATACCTACTTTCAGAATCTGTATACAATTTAAAACTATTAAATCATAAACTTGTTTTGTCTAACAACTAGCTCGGAGCCCTATATATACTCACGTGAATGCATCTATCCTAGGACTGACTACAGTAAGATCATTTGAAGTAGAACAAATTCTTTCTAATGAGTTTGCAATCCACCAGGTAATATTATTTGAGATTAAAATATTTAATTTTTTCATGACCTATTTATGAAAAATTATTTTTAGGATCTACATTCATCAGCGTGGTATTTATTTATTGCTTTGGGGAGAGGCATTGGACTTTGGATTGATATAATTTGTCTATTATTTATAAGTACTGTAACGTTTTACTTTGTATTTGTTAATAATGGTAAGTTTATAAAAACATTTTTTTTTAAATTTGATATTAATAAAAAGTATATATAAATATTGGTAGTCTTTTATTAAGAATCACCAATAAAATTGTTTCAAAAACTATTAACATAATAATATTTTTTTACATAATTGTAAAGCGTTCGAAGCAATATTTTTTAAAACAATTAGACTTTTACTATTTTTATTGTTATCGTTTTTTTAAGTCATTAGTTTTCTGAATGACAACATACATTTTTAATTCCCATAGTAACCAAAGCTGAATATTTTAGCCTAAAAAAAAATTTTTAACATTTAATTCTTAAAATAATGATAAAAAAGTATTTTTCATAAAACTGGAATATTAATAGTAGGTAATTATAATCCACCGTTTCATAAATTAAATTGTGTTGCATTCAAAACTAATTAGGATATCGTTTCGATAATTTAAACATAATTTTAGATACCTATGGTGGAAATGTCGGGTTAGCTATTACACAATCAATTGGATTAGCTAGTTTGTTCCAATGGGTAATTAGACAGTCTGCGGAATTGGAAAACCAAATGACGTCTGTCGAAAGAGTTTTAGAATATTCAAATGTACCACAAGAACCAGCTCTTGAATCGCATCCCGGTAATAATACTGTTTGTACACTAATATAATATGAAATGCTGAAAAATTAATTTACAGATTAGTATTATTTTGTATATATGAATAAAATGATTTACAATATTATTTTAGACAAGAAGCCATCAAAAGTACGGCCACAGGGAAGGTCGAATTATATTCAACACATTTTATCTGCGTTATGAGCCAGATGCACCATTTGTTTTGAACAATTTGAATTTTAACATTGCACCTGCAGAAAAAGTAACATGCAAAATTAGATAATAATAAGATTAATAATTTAACTCCAGAATATACCTAACCGTATAATGATATTTATTTTCTTTAAATTATAACATAAAAAAATCGGTTTTTGTATAGAAAAAATGAAAAACTAGTTAATCTGTTCGCTATATATAATTTTGGTGGAAAATACCATAGTGGATTGTTAATCTGTGTTTCAGAATAGTTTTTGTAATAAATTGTATTAATAGTTTTGTATTTATTAAGGTTGGGATTGTTGGAAGGACTGGAGCAGGAAAATCATCTTTGATTGCAGCGTTATTTAGATTAGCTTATAACGAGGGTAACATAATTATCGATGGTATAGAAATACACGATTTGGGATTACACGACTTGAGGTCCAAAATTTCCATCATACCTCAAGAACCAGTTTTGTTTACAGGAACAATGAGAAACAATTTAGATCCATTTGATGAATACCCAGATCATGTCCTTTGGAAAGCTTTAGATGAAGTAAAATTTTTGTTTTAAATACTTACTTCTACGAGTATATACATAATACATAATATATTGATACGTTTACACTTTCTAGACATTAAAAAAATTATTCAATTATTATTAATTTACATAGTTAAATATAATTTTAAGGTGGAACTGAAAAACATAGTTGAAGATTTGTCAAATGGTCTAAACTCAAAAATGTCAGAAGGTGGATCTAATTTCAGCGTTGGTCAAAGACAATTAGTATGTTTGGCTAGAGCAATTATACGAAATAACAAAATTCTAGTGTTAGACGAAGCCACTGCAAATGTCGATCCACAGTAAAAAAATTGAATTTAAAAATATTATAACTTGTTAATTATTTACGATAACACTAAAATGATATTCCTATTTTCATATTTCAGAACTGACTCTTTAATTCAAAACACTATAAGAAAAAAATTTTCCGAGAGTACTGTATTAACGATTGCACATCGCTTGAATACAGTGATGGATTCTGACAAGATACTTGTAATTGACGCTGGGACAGTTGTTGAATTTGATCATCCACATAATTTATTGAAAAATGAAGATGGATTTTTCTACAAAATGGTAGCACAAACTGGACCAAACAATGCTCAATCTTTACACAACATAGCTTATGAGGTATTTATTTTCACTTGGAATAACTAATAGTGTATTGTACTTCATGAAATATTTTTTTTTAATATTTAAAGAGTTACAATAACGTACACAATATGCCAAGTGAACATCGATTGACAAGTATTAATGAAGATGAAAACTAAATATTAAGATCTCGAACGTTTGAGTTATAATTGTATACTATATTATATATAGTTATATGTACGTATAATCGAATAGATACTAATTACAAATTTACATTATAGTATTGTACAATAAATTAAAATGAACATTAAATTTGGTCTTTATTTATTTTATAACTAATTAGAAATAAAAATTTTATGAAAATATATTATTTTTTTTTTGTTTTATTAATATCTACAAGTGACCAAAGGTTGACAACTCACAAGTATTAACAAAATTGAAGATTTTAGTAAAGTAAATACATAATATCATTAATATTATTTTAGAATTCAAACCAAGTGAACGATAACATTTTTTAAATATTTTTACCCTTTTTCAGTTCTTTATCTCTTCATAGCCATGAGTAAATTTTGATTTTTTAAACTTTTTTAAATTACTAGTAAATAAGGTTCCGTATAAATGTCAATATAGTGTAAGTAATTTTTAAAAAAAAATGAGTGTAAAATCACAATAATTTTTCATGATTGTCTGAAGTTTGAAATTTTGCTAATTATTTTTCAGTAAAAATTGATAAAAAAATATCTTTTCATAGCTGACATTTGAAAATTTAATAGAAGATTCCATACAGTTGTTCACATCCAACAAAAAAAAATTTACCTGAAGGTTATATAAAACCATGAGTTATTTTCAATTGTATTAAACAAAAATAAACAAAGATAATATTCCAAGGATTATATTTTATAGGATACCGTCTCCGCTCAAAATCGTTTTTCGAGTTACCAACCTTTTTTTTCTTTTACGGGATTTATGATTAATAATTTTCAAATTACTTATTTATTTTACAAGGTTTAAAAAGTACAATTTATATTGTTTATAAATTAGTGAAAGGTTAGGACAGTGGTTCTTAACCTTTTTCGAATGACGGAACACTTAACATTTTACAAGATTTTCGAGGAACACAACCGTAAAATAAAATAGTAGTACATACATTTTTAATTTTTTAATATATTAAACAATGAATGTATAGCATAAAATTGTTTGCATGCCATACATGTTAGGATAATACTTTCGGTATTGACAGTACTGTATAAACATCCAAATTAAAATTGAACACAGATTATGTTTTTTTTGAAGGCTGAAATTCTTTTATTATGTAGGTATCACTCGTTTTTTGTACAAATCTAAAAAAACAAATCCATGACATCGATTTGAGGAATCACTGACTAGACTGCAGTTTTTACTTTATGTTTGTAACTCATTTCTAATTTATTATAGATATTATCAATATTTCAATAAAGGATCACTGCAACAACGAGGCAAGTCCAATTTTATCAATTTTTCAGGAGTAGCAAAACAAAATTCATTATCTCATTTACCCCTTTTGGAGGGAAATAATTCAGCTTGAGATATCTTTGGAAATAATAAAGCGATTTTTCTGATTTTGCTACCAAAATATAGTATTTCTTCCATAGAGTTTCTTCCATGGAAAAACTCATTTTTGATAAAAATGGACTTGACTTGTTGTTACAGTGAGCCCTTTATAAATATTAAACACATATAAGTTATAGTACAAATTAAGAAGGTACAGATACGTATTATTATATATTTACGTAAAATTATATTTTAACTTGTGTATTTATCATATATACAAAGGTGGGCATTAACTAGTTGAAAAGTTAAAGTTCAGTTAAAAAGTTAATTTTTTTTTAACTTTTTAACTTAACTAGTTAGTTTATTTTCTAATCAACTTATGTACTTAAATAGTTTAATTTACAATTGAAATAACTTAGCTTTTCTCAGTTGATTTTAAAAAATCCATTAAGTTAAAACATTTTGAAATTGTTCGTTTATACTTAAATATTACGAATTTCGAACGCTCGTAAAAATGGCAAAACTATACTCTAATATAGAACATTCCAAAGAAAATATAAAATTACTAAGCAAATTGGAGAAATTCAAATCCACGGAGAGCTTTATTACACATCATTTTTCTCGTAAAATCGCAGGGTTTTTGATTTTTTCGATGTAACTTGTTGTTACATTTTTTTGGTCATTGATCAAAAGCTTAAAAATTCAATAATATCAAATAAAACCAAATAAATTACATAAAAATAATAACGTTTATTAGTATAAATACTAAATGTAGGTACACAAGATTACGGAAATATAGCCATATATTTTATAATTTATAGGTAGGTATCATCTTTTTACATAAACACTTCTTTTGATCCAGGGCTAGAATTTTGACCGCAGGGCAGAAGTAACCTCTGTCCGCTACTGCAGATCATTGGCTATTAATTCCACAGTGGATTTTAAACGTCGCTGCAGTCTTGGCTCCCTCCCCTCTCGCCTTTATTACTCCTGTGTAATACGCCAAGGTGAGCTTTTGTCCTGAGTTCACAGCTCTTTTGTGTCCAGCTAGACGCCGTTTTGTTCGCCGGACACTGAACAAATCCTTGTTTTTTTGTCCTCTCGTTTGTTGAACTGTTTCGTGCATCGGCACCGGCTTCGGCTCTTTTCCGTGTCTTGCACCACGTCGTGGTCGTTCCCGTTTCCTCTAGTAATACTCGTTTTTTCCACAGCGGTTATATCACCGCTGTATAACCGCTGTGGAAAAAGCTGTAGGTAAAAACGAGTATTACTAGAGGAAACGGGAACGACCACGACGTGGCGCAAGACACGGAAAAGAGCCGAAGCCGGTGCCGATGCACGAAACGGTTCAACAAACGAGAGGACAAAAAAATGTCTGCCGGGCGAACGCCAAAAAAGGTGAGCCTAAACGGAGGATTTGTTCAAAGTGTCCGGCGAACAAAACGGCGTCTAGCTGGACACAAAAGAGCTGTGAACTCAGGACAAAAGCTCACCTTGGCGTATTACACAGGCGTAATAAAGGCGAGAGGGGAGGGAGCCAAGACTGCAGCGACGTTTAAAATCCACTGTGGAATTAATAGCCAATGATCTGCAGTAGCGGACAGAGGTTACTTCTGCCCTGCGGTCAAAATTCTAGCCCTGGATCAAAAGAAGTGTTTATGTAAAAAGATGATACCTACAAACCTCTCACAAAACTGAACATAATCTATGTTCGGTCTATGTCGGGAACACCGCAACAAAACATTCGCAGTGCAAAGGTCTTCGCCCGACTCCACAGTGTGCGACGACTAGGTCGGACAGCGCTTAGTATCACGTCTGTTGTTGCAGTATCTCCACATCCGCCTTTGGTAACCATGATGTCCTGTAAACCTGCACTGGTCGTCTCGTGCTCCAGCGGTTTTGCCGACTCGGAATCACCGATTAATTGTGTTTCTGAAGTGTTCGGTATCGAACTCAAATGCTGGGCGTCGAAATCGAGTGGCAGAACATGTGGTAAAGTCGACGTGAAGGGTAACAGGGAGTCGATGTCGCTAGCTCTTATAGCAGCAAGTCTCAATTCTTCACTCTCAGTCGATGATTCGGCCGATGGCGAATCCATCAAAACTTACATCTCGGTGATGGAAGCGACGGACGGAATCGCTTCTTGTGCATCGCCCATGGACTTTGTTTCGAATGCCATGTTTGGCATCGATTTGCTTCGCCTTTGAAAACTCTTGATATCGTCGATTTTTAGGGTTATCGGACGATTTCAAGCAGATCACTGAATACTTGCGTCATTGAAGAGGTTTCCGACAGAGGGACTTCACCAGAGGAAATCGACTGCAGCGAAATGTTAGGCAACGATGCGTATCGCCTGTGAATCTTCAAACTGGTGACCACACTCTCTTCCAACACTTTAGGCTGATTTTCCCGGAGGTCTTCAAAAACCTGGATCATGATTTCTGTGGCGGACTGTTTATTAACATCGGACGAACTCTTCACGGCTTCGTTAGTCGACATAATGTTGATCTGATGTTTATATATTATACAAAACTAAGGTACGCAATAAGTCTTGCACTGTATTATAATTAATGTTCGTTGTAACAAATATAGGTACTGATAGAACAGACTGATATGCAATTAATACGAATTATAAAACAGCTTCAGTGTAAATAATTTATTTACACTGAAGTTGCCCATAGAAACAATTATAATAGTTTTTTTAAAAAATGTTCAGTTTAGAAAATTATATTTTTAAAAGAATAAATAAAAAAAAGGATTGTATTTAACATTGGTAAATACTAAATATTTGTTAAAGCTTTATGGATTTTGATAAAAAGAAGGTGCTTTGCTGTACAGTAGGTTACAACTGGATCACTGTATAATGGATGGTATTAAATTTGAATTCAATAATATAATATAATTGTATAAGGGAAAGGATTCTGAGAGGTTTGTCTGAGACGGTTGTCAGTCTACGTATAAGACATATTATATACTTATCTATGGTATTAAAAAAAATTGACCTATAATAAATTCCAAATTTATCATATCACAATATCCATTAGGTACTCGTACGTGTTATACATCAACAACAAACCCTGATACTATCATAGATATATAATAGTGTACTTTAGAAGTTAGTTATAAGTTATAACTAAAATAGTTATTCTAGGTTTTTTATGTAGTTTCGTCCAAATTTGAACTTAAAATGACTATAAAAATAAACTGCACTTACGTATTTTTTAAATTATTTGGTAACAGAATTAACTACTTACATGGAATCTTGTTTTAAATTTAAAATCCTTAGATATAAAAGATAAACATTTTAAAAATATTTAACTACAAAATAATTGTTCAATTTTAAATTTCGTACATTTTGTCAAAATTCGATGTTTAAATGCTTATAAAAAAAAATTGTGCCTATGTATTTTCAATGTTTTTCAACTAATATTGTAACAATATATAAGTATAGGTACCTACTACCTATAATATTATGTTATAAAAAAAATTTGAATTTAAAAAGTTAGTTGTTATTCGTATTTTTCAATTATCTCTGTTACACTCTGCAGGCACCTATGTAAATGTTGATCACCAACTTTTGTACTTTACCTACTTCCTTTGTTTTGGTAGGTACCTACTATCTTATCATTCCTAAATTTTACCAATATAT